TCTTTCTCTTTTAATTTACTGAAAAATTAAGATATGTATTAGACATTGCCTAGATATTATTTATCAATAACGCAGTCTAAATATCCACACACCAATCATTTTTAATTCAAGGAGCAAACTTAGGTAAACTTTAAAACACAAATAAAACAAAGGACCTGTCCGACTGAGTGTCTATGCTTCGTGTGTCTCTGGTTCTGTCCAGGTGTCTATGATCCGCGTGTCTCGCGTGTCTCCGCCTGTCTGGGTTCTGTCTGCGTATGTGTTAATGTAAAATTAATGTCTGTCTGTGGTTCTGTTCGCGTGTCTATGGTCGCTCGCTCCGTGAGCAGAGAGAGACGTGAGCACGAGATGAGAGAGACCGCGGCAGAGAGAAGAGAGCAGAGAGAGACGCGAGCAGGAGAGAGAGGACGCGAGCAGAGAGAGGACCGTGCGCAGATGAGAGAGAGACGCGAGCAGTAGAGACGTGAGCAGAGAGAGAGAGACGTGAGCAGCGAGCCGAGAGCAGAGAGAGACTGTGAGCAGAGAGAGAGAGACGCGAGCATGAGAGAGCGAGAAGAGAGAGACTGTTGAGCACAGGAGAGAGACGCGAGCAGAGAGAGACGTGAGCAGAGAGAGAGAAGGGGGGGGGGAAAAACGGGCGAGCAAGAGAGAGACGGTGAAGCAGAGAGGACTGTGTAGCAGAGAGGAGAGCAGAGAGAGGACGTGAGCAGAGAGGAGAGGCGTGAGCAGAGAGAGACGTGAGAGGAAGAGAGAGAGGGGTGAAGCAGAGTGAGACGTGAGCAGAGAGGAGAGAGGGTGAGCACGAGAGAGTGAGAGAGATGTGTGAGCAGAGAGAGACGTGAGCAGGAGAGAGAGAAGACGCGAGCAGAGAGAGAGAGCAGAGAGAGACAGTTGAGCAGAGAGAGAGAGACGCGAGCAGAGAGAGACTTGAGCAGAGAGAGAGAGACTGTGAGCAGATGAGACTGTGAGCAGAGAGAGAGAGTCGCGAGCAGAGAGAGACGTGAGCACGAGAGAGACGCAGTGAGAAGAGAGAGGCTGTGAGAGAGAGAGACGTGAGCAGAGAGAGAGGAGAGCGAGCAGAGAGGAGAGAGCAGAGAGAGACGTGAGCAGGGAGAGAGAGAGAGCCGAGGCAGAGAGGAGAGAGCAGAGAGAGAGACGTGTGGCAGAAAGTGGAGAGACGTGAGCTGAGAGAGAGATGCTGTGAGCAGAGAGAGAGCGAGGTGAGCAGCGATTGAGGATAGAGAGGACGGTGAGCAGAGAGAGAGAGAGGTGAGCAGAGAGAGAGAGACGCGAAGCAGAGAGGGAGAGACGCGAGCAGAGGAGAGAGACGACGAGAGAGCGAGAGAGATGCGAGCAGAGAGAGAGAGATGCGAGCAGAGATGAGAGAGAGATCCACGCCCCGACGCCAGAGAGAGAGAGATGCGTGCAGACGTGAGAGGTGAGATGCGATAGAGAGAGAGAGGATATTGCGAGCCAGAGGAGGGAGAGGACTTATTTGTGAGCAGAGAGGAGAGTGGTGAGCAGAGAGAGAGAGATGCGAGCAGAGAGAGAGAGATGCGTGCAGAGGAGAGAGATGGCGAGCAGAGAGGAGAGAGCGTGAGCAGAGAGAGAGAGAGGGACGTGAGCAGAGAGAGAGACCGTGAGCAGAAGAGAGAGACGTGAGCAGAGGAGAGGGGGTCACGAGCAGAGAGAGAGACGTGCGCCAGGTGAGAGACCTGTGAGAGAGGAGAGGAGACGTGAGCAGAGTGAGCGTGAGCAGGAGAGGAGAGAGACGCGAGCAGAGAGAGACGTGAGCAGCAGCGAGGAGACGTGAGTGAGAGAGAGAGAGGCTGTGAGCAGAGATGAGGAGAGGTGAGCAGAGGAGAGACGGAGCAGGAGAGAGAGAGAGCAGAAGCAGAGAGAGAGCGCAGAGTAGAGACGTGAGCAGAGAGAGAGAGAGACGCGGCGCAGAGGATGAGAAGAGCAGAGAGAGACGTGAGCAGAGAGAGAGAGTCCGCGAGCAGAGAGAGACGTGAGCAGAGAGAGAGAGACTCGAGCAGAGAGAGACGTGAGCAGGAAGGAAGAGAGACGTGAGCAGAGAGTGAGAGCAGAGAGAGACGTGAGCAGAGACGAGGAGAGACCGCTTGAGCATGAGAGAGAGAGCAGAGGAGGTGAGCAGTGAGAGAGCGACGCGAGCAGGGGAGAGACGTGAGCAGAGAGGAGAGAGACCGCGAGGCAGAGAGAGCGTTGAGCAGAGAGTGACTCGGTGACAGAGAGAGAGAGCAGAGAGAGACTGTCGAGCAGAGAGGAGAGACAGTTGAGCAGAGTAGACGTGAGCAGATGAGAGAAGAGGTGTGAGCGAGAGAGACCGTGAGCAGAGAGAGAGAGGCGGTGAGCAGAGAGAGAGAGAGAGATGTGAGCAGTGAGAGACGTGAGCAGAGAGAGAGAGACGCGAGCAGAGAGAGAGAGCACGAGAGAGACGTGAGCACGAGAGAGAGAGACGCGAGCAGGGAGAGACGTGAGCAGAGTGAGAGAGCGTGAGCAGAGAGAGGACGGTGAGCAGAGAGAGAGAGACGCGGAGCAGAGGAGCTGTGAGCATGAGAGAGAGACGTGAGCAGGAGAGAGGCGTGAGCAGGAGAGAGAGGTGTGCGAGAGAGACGTGAGCAGAAGAGAGAGAGAGACGCGAAGCAGGATGAAGCGAGCAGAGGAGACGGAGCAGAGGAGAGAGAGATGCGAGCAGAGAGGAGAGGCTTTTTTGAGCAGAGAGAGAGGTGAGCAGAGGAGAGAGAGATGCGAGCAGAGAGAGAGAGATGCGGAGCAGAGAGGAGATGCGAGCAGAGAGAGGAGAGAGACGTTGAGCAGAGAGAGAGAGATGGGCCCCTTTTCGAGCAGAGAGAGAGGATGCGGAGCAGAGAGAGGCAGAGACGTGAAGCAGAGGATGAGAGGGCACGAGCAGAGAGAGAGGACGGTGAGCAGAGAGAGAGACGTGAGCAGAGAGAGAGGACACGAGCACGAGAGAGGACGTGAGCAGAGAGAGACGTTGGAGCAGAGAGAGAGAGACGTGAGCAGGAGAGAGACGTGAGCAGAAGAGAGTGAGACGCGAGCAGGAGAGACGTGAGCAGTGAGAGACTGTGAGCAGGAGAGAGAGAGGCGTGAGCAGAGAGAGAGAGGTCAGAGTTTGGCACACCACGATCCGTCTCTGTCTGCCTAAATCCTAACAACTGCTAGCAATGGCAATATCAAGTATTGCAGTGAGACAATTACAATAACACGCGTATGTTTCGAAGACTCTACACGCTCAACAACTAACTAGTTACTATTGCGATTGCAATGTACATACATTTAAAAGGGAAAATGTTCGTAAGGTTCTAGAAAAAGCCCCGTTTGTAAACAAACCGCAGTTCACTGGGCTTTGCCAGCTAATGCTAGCTAGGGTGTTAGTTTGACGCAGAGATCTAGCTAGAAATGCGTATTACAGATAGTATTTAGAAAATGACCCATCATTCTCTCACTCTGAGCACTTTCCACAAATAAAAACTTAGATGTAGACAAAAAAAAGTATTTCGCTACGTAGCCTTTCAATGCACGGACACCGCTGCTTTGAAAGCATAAACACATGTGTTTAGAGATAATGTCTTACCTTTCAAGCAGAAATGATGCCAACTGTGGGTCTTTTCTCATGCCCAGAGGTTCTCTCAGAGTTTTCAACCTCTCAAAAGCAACTCCAATGTTTACCCTCGTTTGTTGCCTACTGCGGTCAGACTCGAGTTTCCCCCTTTTGGTCACACTTCGCGTGTCTATGGTCCTGTCTGTGGTTCTGTTCGGGTGTCTATGGTCCTGTCTGTGGTTCTGTTCGCGTGTCTATGGTCCGTGCTCGGAGCCCAGACTGCAGTGCGTTCACTGAGCTGTCAGAGCAGGGGTCACAGCAGCTGCTCCCGGGGCCAGAGCGGAGGATGTAACGTAACGTTCGGTTTATCAAAACATATCACAATATTTAACGTATAACACTAGTGAATTTCACCTAGATTTTTTCAGACATTAAAGACAAGATGTTATATAATAATTGTTTAATGAAAAACAATTTTGCTCGGAACGTGCCAGCGTGACATCCGACGGGTTTTCCCAGATCGCATCACATATATACGTTAATGCAATTTAATTATAAAGATTAACATTAGTACAAAATATGTATATGTTGTCTGTTATGCTCTTACTTTGAAAAAGCATTCAAAAGCAACACATATACATTCACATCCACGGCTTGAACACACAGCCAATTTTACACATTTCCTTTTGACAAGGAAAGAAGATAACAATCTGATAACGTTACGTAATTGCACGGTGGCTGAGTGGATAGCACTCTCGCCTCTCAGCAAGAAGGTCCTGGGTTCGAATCCCGGTCGGACCAGGGCCTTTCTGAGTGGAGTTTGCATGTTCTCCCCGTGTCTGCGTAGGTTTCCTCCGGGTGCTCCGGTTTCCCCTACCACTAAAAATATGTCCAATAGTTCTGGCATGCGCCTCCTGTACTGGCCCCGCTCCCATCTCTGTGTGGAGTGAGAGACAAATGCCCAAAATTAACAATTGTAAACCGCTTTGAGACTCAGATCTGCAGTGAAAAGGCGGTATATAAATAAAAAACTTACTTACAAGCAACCAAAAGATGTGCAACCAAAATTGCCTCAGACAAGAATCGAACCTGGGTTCTCCAGGTCCCAGTCTTTAATGCTAACCATTCGGCTAACATAGGATCTCTGCGCTAGACAGGTTTGCACGCAGTATGATACCTGAGCGTCTAAGTCGCTGGCAGAGCTAAAGCGGACTTAGCCTGCCACCTTGTGGCAATAAGATGTAATATTTTTCACGCAGCTGCGTGATTCCCGAAAAGCGTGAATGAAGACGACAAAACGAAATGAGACCTACTGTATGTGTCTGGGCCTGCAGTTCAGCCTAGGTCCTGGTTCAGCTTGGCCTTGGTCATGATCCCGCTTCTCTTTGTTGGCCTTGTTGTGTCCTGGTTGGCAATGACGATGGATACTGATGGTGATGTGCAGCAGCTGCAAGACCAGGTGAACTATTTGCAGCAGCTGGAGGAGGAGGTCGACCACTTGCATCAGCATCTTGAGCAACACAAGGCGATGGTGAGAGCTCCTTTAGCCAACTTTGCATTGGAGATTCACGGGGCTCGGGTGATGACTGCTGAGACTTCCAAGACTCACGAGCAGAAAAATGGCCCGCCTTGGCTCAAACCTCTCGGTCCAGACACTGTGTTCAAAGGTCATAATTACCCTTTGATTCCTGGACAGTGCTGGGCGTTCACAGGTCAGACTGGGAGGCTTTCCATAGCTCTACCTCTGGAGATCCACATCACCAAAGTGACTGTAGGACACATTCTGAAGGAGCAGTCTCTTACAAGAACAATTCAGTCGGCTCCAAAGTCTTTCTCTGTGTACGGACTGAAGGACTTTGGACCAACAGAGGTAAGACTTGGAACGTTTCTCTACGACGCAGACGGGGACTCGTTCCAAACATTTGACATCCTGGAGCAACAAGGGTGAGACTTTCCGGTCCGTGAGGTTAGAGATTCACAATAACCATGGACACGATGCATTCACCTGTGTATACAGCTTCAGGGTACATGGGGAAATCCCTGATTCCAGCACCAAAACATCTACAGAGTCAACATACAGCTGGTTTGGAGGGTTAGCACACAGCTTCTACCAACCAGCTAGGGCATTGTATTATTTCGCTCAGAGGTTACGACAAATGACTTGGGACACATCCAACTTAACTCATTTATGGGCACGAATTATTTTTGCTTTACTTTCTTAAAATTCTGTTTTATCAGTTGTAGAATCCATTGAAGAGAGGGGTTTGATTTGTCCTTGCTCTGTAGAAGGAGATTGACAGCTGGTCAAAGGTGACTTAAGAAATAAAACAAAATAAGAAGCGTTCCATGTGACCGTTACAACCACAAGACCCCAAACCTGACCTGAAGCGGGACCAGGTGTGAGACTTTCTGGTTTGTGAGGTTCGAAATCCACAAAACTATAGGCACAGTAAATTCACCGGTGTCTATCTCTTCAGGGAACATGAGAAAATCCTTTTTTCCATCACCAAGACGTCCACAAGTCGACCCACAACTTACTTGGAGGGGTCATGAGATTTTCTCTGAGGTTACGTCAATGTCTCAGAACAAACCCAAAGAGCTGGACAGTAGCTCTGAGATTCCAGCAGGAACTGACCCACATGTAACAGTGACTTAAGCTGTATCAGGATGGGGACAGGGCGAGGGTTAGGGTTAAGTCAGGTGGTTTGTAACTTCTTTATGAGCACGACTTATTGCTATTTGCTTATTTTCTTAGAAGATCTTTTTATCAGCTGTAGATTCCATTGAAGAGATGGGTGTGACTTGTTCTTGCTCAGCCCCGTAGAAGGAGATTGACAACTGTGTAAACGTGAACTGAGAAACAAAACAAATAAAATATGAAGTGTTCCATGTGTAGGGTAAATAGTTATATATATGTATTAGGGTAATAATACATCAGATTATGTTATGAGAAGAATAGTGCGGCTAGTCTTCAAATCAGAGTCTGGCCGTCCTATTCGAGTGGGGGATCTGCTTTATATTTATTTAGGCACCAGCAGTGTATGACACACTGCACAGATCCAAACCAACTTTGCCTCGAGTCAGTCTTATAAATCTAATAGGTAGTGAGTACTTTTATCGGCCAGTGATATTCCGAGATCTAACAACGCGACTCTGAAGGGGTTGAGTTAAAGAAAAGTAGTTTATTGATTACAAAAATGAGGGTAAAAATATAACGAAAAGGGATTTCTGGTCACATTAAAAGCAGGAGTTGTACACATATCATTCAAATCATACATTTAACAAAGGAACAGTCTTACTTTGAAGGAGCGTAGAGGATGGAGAAAGGATTTGGGTTGGGGATCAGTCCACGTGGTTCCTTTGTCTGGGCAGGCGGGAGGTACAAAGCCAGCGAGTTGGTCCAGCTGCTGGTCCACGCGTATGCAGCTCAGTCCGGAATGGGCTGCACGCGTATAGTCCAGAGCCAAGGAAAGAGGCTGGTGATGAAATGGTTCGTAAGGTCCCGAGCCAGAGGAGAGTATGTTTGGCGGAGTAGAAGGCCCGATGCGTGCTGGCGCGACCGTAGTAGGAGACACGTGCCGCGGGACGCCGATGGCCAGGGAGGTTGGAATAGTGATTTCAGGAGAAGGCAAGAGAAAGTCTCTTGCTTTGCGGGTGCTTATATTGACTTCTGAAGGGGCGTGTCCATGTCTTCCCTCTCTGTGGACAAACTCCTTTACACAGACAGTTTGTAAAGAAACATACAGGATTGATGCAAATGATCATAAGACATGTACAAACACACAGTGTATTTACATCACAGACATTAAACACACGAGTAAGGTCCGTAACGTTAATATCATTGAGTAATGTCCCCTTTGAATGTTCGTCTTGGGTGCGGTAGCGTCCAGTGTCCGCTAGGGAGCGTCAGAGGGCCGCGGGTGGACCCCTTGGTCCGTGGAATGCATTGTGACAATGCTGATTTGTATCAGCTCCTCTGTTAACATGAAAAAGGCACCAGATGGGTATCCTGCTGTTTTATGGGTCCGTCTGGAGTCCGTAATCCTCATGCTCCTGTGGCTGAACCCCATGGTTCCTTTGAAGTTGTGGTGAAGTATTATCTCCATTTGGTCACTGGTTCACAGAGAAAACAGGCCCGGCCGGTCCTGTCCTCCGTTTTAACCTTACACATGTGACGGTTACAACCACAAGACCCCAGACCTGACCTGAAAGTCCTCTGGGTCTCGCTCAAGAAACTGAAGCACATGTGAGGTTGGTTCATGTCCATTTTCCACCTCCTCACATGTCTCCAGCCCAGTGGGCACTACCTTCAACTGCCCAGCCCCTCTGCACCCACAGCCCCATCCACATGTACTAGAGTGGGATCCCGAATGCGCTGTACCAGGCAATGTCACTGTTCTTCTTATAGTGCTATCCACGGTGGTTTTTGGACCGCATTTCATTTGACTCGTCACCAAAGACCTGTGCACCATGGGAGGTCCACAGTGTTGCCAACTTAGCGACTTTGTCGCTAGATTTAGCGACTTTTCAGACCCTATAGCGACTTTTTTTCAAAAAAGCGACTAGCGACAGATCTAGACAAAGCATTAAAATCATTAAATGTTGTTAATGTTGAAATTATTTGTGTACATTTGTAGTTCTAAACATATTTAGGGTGTTTTTTACTCACTTTTGTCTCTCCCACGACGTTATTCCTCTCTCCTACAGCGTCCGTTACAGTTATTTGCAAATAGCCAATTATGCAAATTAGGCGATGACGTCATTTAGCGACTTCTAGCGACTTTTGGGACAGCCAATAGCTACTTTCCTTACTGAGGAGTTGGCAACACTGGAGGTCCAGACAACAAGACTCCCAGGATCATCCGAGTATTCAAACCATGTTAAGGAGGCAGTCTGGGGGACAGAAACATTGGAAATGACTACATTTACACGTTATTCAATTTAAAAGCAATAAACAAAAACCCAAAAACCTTACTTGTTTTATGTTTTTGGATTTAACATTCTGGGACATAGTCTCTGCAAATCGGTGAATCGTCCGATCGTTGGATTCTATCTTTAAAAATGCAATTAAAAATAAAATAATTAAAAAAATAAAGCAAATTATTTTTATTTGCGGGCCAGGGGGTGGCCCGAGGGGGTGGCGCCCCAGCCCGGCCCGGCCCGACATGGTTTCTGAATCCTCAGGCCCGAACTCAATCAAGCCCGACTTTTAAAAAAAGTAACAATGTTTTAGCGTAGTTTAAAGTGCCGTGCACTGATAAGAGTCGAGACGCAACTTACTTGGAGGGGTTGCGCAACGACTCTACCAATCAGCTGAGACATTGTATTATTTCATGAGATTTTCTCTGACGTTACGTCAATGTCTCAGACCAAACCCAAAGAGCTAGACAGTAGCTCTGAGATTCCAGCAGGAACTGACCCACATGTGACAGTGACTTAAGCTGTATCTGGATGGGGACAGAGCGAGGGTTAGGGTTAAGTCGGGTGGTTTGTAGCTTCTTTATGGGCAAGACTTAATTTCATTTGTTTAATTTTCTTAGGAGATCTTTTTTTTAAATCACTTTTAGCACTTTTTATGGCCTGAATTCATACACAGCTGAATCAATGACCTCAACTTTTCAATTAAAATTACAGGTTTTAATGCAATGTAGAAAAAAACACTGTCTACTACAGAAAGACAAAATGTGAATAATGTTTATACTGTTTTATGTGGATTTATTGTTAGAATAAACAAATACAGTACATATTTACACCATGTCGTAATTTATTCTTTCATTTAAACAACCATTTACAGAAAAATATGGCATAATGTTGCCGTTAGTTCAAAATGTGATGAATTACGATTAATTGATTTCTAAGCTGTAATTAAAGGAACAATATGTAAAAATCTGGCCAAAAGTGGTACTGCAGTCACAGTCAATATTTTGTAGTCCTCTCCCACTCTCCCTGACTCAGGTTGCCAGATTCACACCAAATCCAGCAGCAAACACAGGGAATTATTTTATCAGTTGTTTGTCCGTCTGCATTCACATTGCCATGACAGCCGTGCTAATGTTGAATGAATGTTGAATTTTTTTATTTTTAATTTGGACATTTGAGATAAAAAACACAAAACAAAATAAAAGTAATGTATCCATCCATCAATCCATTTTCTATCCTTTAATCCATTTCTGGGTCAGGGGGGTGGCAATCAGAGATGCCACCCAAGTCTCATAGCACCAGCTCCTCACTGACCCTCTGCAGGTGGTGAGTCCACAGGAGGACGGCTGCTCTCTGAGTGTGAGCATAGCCTTGATCTTTCAGTGGGGGCTTTGGGCAAAGTGGGGTTAAGTGTCTTGCCCAAGGACACAACGACAGCAGTCATCAGTGGGAGTCAGTGGAGAAGGTGCAGAGGTGGGAATTGAACCCACAACCTTCTGGTCTTAAGGCCAATGCTCTACCAACTGAGCTACTGTCGCCAATGTAAAAAAAGTAATAAAAATAAAAGCAATGTAATTATAGATTATCCAAAATAAATAAGACATATTGATGTCCAAAATAGGAGTGGGAAGAATGGATGTTGGAACGTATTTCTTCAGCGTATCAACATCAGGGTTTGCTCAAGAGGATATCACCTTTCAATTTTATTTATTCCCTATTTTTTTAAACAAACATGTATAAGTCCCACATCAAAAAGAGACTAACATTATTTTAATTGGGTACATGTGGTCTTAAATGATTCTTTTTACAATTAAGCTATAATCTGCAAAAAAACGTCTTGACCTTTGTCTTTTACCGTTTTTAGAGCAATCTGTCATAGAATGTGATAACATGCAATTAAATACAAAAAGACTCTAACCGGTATTGAACCCAGGTCGCCATATCGTGAGCGCTCAGTTTAAACCACTAGACCATCGATTTGCGCCATCAGATTTGTTCTGAAGAACGGACTGAAAGCAGCAAATTTTGCATCACATGTAGCCTTATCAGCCGTCTCAATAGGCCTATTTCACGAAGACGTTACAAATGCGGAAGTAAAGAATAGCTGAGTTAAACAACTTCCGGTGCGGTGTTTTGACAGCGGTAGAGTGAAAATGGATTCCAAATGTTTTTGTTTTTATAAGAGTTTGCAAAATTTGCCCCAAATGTCTATGGGAGATGTTTCCCGGATAGCCTCTTTTATGTCGCTTACAAGCAGCTCAAAGCTTGAGAAGGGGTATAAGTTGTTTGTTGAAAACTACGTGTTTAACTATGAAGGTAAGTCACGCTTCACAGTGTGTTGTTGGGTTTTTATCTTATGTCAAGTCTTTTTCCTTTTTACCTGACGTTGGTGCTAACTATAAGTAAAATAAATAAAACGTAATCTGTATGAACCTTTCTACTGTCTGTAAACATTTTAGGCTTGTCGCAGAGCTAACATTAGCATAACGACAGCACAACCCAATGGTTTTAATGGCCACCAAACTACAAAGTATGAATACTCTAGACAGTTTTATCTAATAAATCCACCACTTGAGTGATCGTTGTTTGAAAACATTAGCTTGTAATTAGGATAAAAGCCAACGGCTATATTATATTATTTCTTAGATAGGCTGGAGAAATTGCAGCAGGAAGGCCAGAAAGAATAGTTTGGTAAATTACGTTGATATGACTTTATCTGTCACGACATGTGTATGTGACTATTTGCCTTAATGTCATTTTATGGTAGCAGGCTCTTAAATGGCCTAATCCAAAAAATGTGCAATATTCAGGTGCTGTTTTTTCTTTTATTTAAAATGTATATAGTGTCAGAAATAGTTGGAGGAGAGGTGGCTGTTCGAGCCCATTGCCACAAGTCCATGAGGAAGCGTGAGCCACCACATTGCTTACAGGTTTACTATATAATGCTGGCATGTTGTTATTAATAGCTAACTGCGGTTGCAGTTTGTTGTCATTCAGTTTATTTTATACCCAGTTGTTGCTGTTGCAACGAGTTCTGCTTTCATCCTGTTTTCACTTGTGACTCTTGTTATGTTGTGCCAGGTGATATCTGCTTTATGACTTACTACTTTTTCATTCCAGATCACATTACAATCTGGGATAGTTCCAGCCGTGGTCATGTCAACCAGCTGTTCTTGTGCTGCCGGAAAGATTTTGTGCAATCATCTGGTGGCTCTTCTGTATCAGAGTGCACACTTCAGCACACTGAAGCTGCCAGTGGTTCCAGCTGATCTGTCCTGCACTGAAGAGCTGCAGACCTGGCATAGACCACGAACCCAGGTTAATCCTAATCATGGATATTTTAATGAGGTGGCAAATAAAAGCTATTTAAGTTAACTGTATTATTGTATACAGGGGATCAAGCCAGAAGCGGTGTCGGAAATGATTGTGAGCAAACCAAGGCTCAAGAAAGCAACCAAGGCTGTTGTTAAATCAACCCTTTATCCTGCACATTCAGGTAATTTACAATATTATAAAAACCTTATACCATGAAACATTTAATCTTACAACTATATGTTTGGCTTATAGTTGTAAGATTAACTATAAGGACAAGTTATAGTTAATCTTACAACTATATTCTAGTCTATTCATTGGACTATGAATGGAATAAGGTTAGATTATTTAGCAGATTAAGTGATTAATAACTAATTGTATTGTTACTTGAAGCTTTTAAGACTAATTTCTGTATTCTATTTTTGTCAATTGGATCAATCCATACCTGGCTTTGAACTAAATTGGCTAATGTGTCATAGGTCCTCTCCCTGATCAGCACTTGATGACAATTGGTGAGAAGCTAAAACACATACAACCCCAATTGGGAATCTGCAAGATTCTTTCTGGCCTTGAGGAAATGACAATGGTGGACTCCAAATTTGGTCTGGTGCCTCATGGATCTGTGCTATCCTATCAGTATCCTGCAAAAGACACCGGTGGATATGTCAAGGATCTTGGTGCTCCAGACTTTCCTTCGCTGCCAGTTGAGGGCTATTCATTCAAAAGTGATCATGTGTTCGTACCTACGTATGCACAATCCGTCCACATGGAGAGCCTACAGGTGACCGCAGCGTTATCTACAGCCATAGAGGCACAGACCAGGGGGCAGTCAAACAGCCCAGTGTGGTTTGAAGCCCGCCGCCCTAGACTGACAGCCAGCAGATTTAGGGAAGCCTGCCATGTACGAGGTGAGTCTACAGCGAGATCTTTGGCGTGCCGTATTCTCAGAGGGAACATCCAGACTGCTGCAATGAAGAGAGGGCTCAAACTGGAAGAAGGCATATTGAAGATCTATGCTGAAAACGGGAACCTGTCTGTCTATCCTTGCGGCTTCATTGTACATCCAGATGCCCCTCACCTTGGAGCCAGTCCTGATGGCAGGGTCTACGATCCCTCTGAAAATCCTCAATTTGGTCTCGTGGAAGTCAAGTGCTGTAACACCAACACCATTTCTGAGGTAAAGCACTTGACTAAAGATCTCTGTGTCAAGAAAAGCCACAAGTACTACTGGCAGGTACAAGGTCAGCTGGCAGTCAGCGGGCTAGAATGGTGTGACTTTGTGACAGATACAGACACACAATTAACAGTACAAAGGATCTGGAAGGACAACGACACAATTAATGTAATGAGGCAGCTACTTGACCAGTTCTATTTCGAAACTTTTATACATGTCCTTTTAGGGGAAAGTGAGCGTTGATTTCTGTTCAGGGTGCTTTGAGTTGTCTTTTTTTATTCTTTAGTACTATTATAGAATAGATTCATGTGACATCAACAATCCAAGTGAATTTAATTTGAAACTGAAGTTGTGCAACAATTATTTTATGTGTCAAATATGTATTAGATTTATGTGGGGCAGGTTTGGGTTCAGTTCTTTTCCCATATTTTGTCTTGGTTTTGTTCTAATGTAAATGTAATGATGTAAATATTTTAAGTAATAGCTCATTGTAAATAACAGCTCAAATAATTGAAACTTGTTCCTTATGATTTATCACTATTATTTTTCACTGTAAATAAATGTAATTATTTGTCAAATGTCCTCTTGTGAATGGCAATGATTACATTTTTGAAGTAAAAGTTAACACAAATACTGAATGTCTATGGTTATCTTTTACTATACACAGATTTGATAGGATAGTGTACATACAATCACATTCTGTTTTGGACAAACAAGTTAAGGCAAACACGAGTGGCACAATTGATGCAAACAAAACTGCAATTAGCATATCAAAGTCCTATAAGTACAACTGTTGATTAGGTAATATGTTTAATTTTACCTTTGAAAGAACACTGAAATTAACATCTGGTATTGCTATGTTTATATCATATGAGCTGAATTTGTACTCTCTCCCCCCCCCCCAAAAAAAAACAAAAAAACAAAATGCAGCTTTGGTGCAATACAAGTTAAAACAAAGACACAACATCACACTGGCTTGTCATTTTTTATATCCAAAGGTCCTTGATAGTGGGTCAGCAGGCAACAAACTGCCCACAGCTGGTTGACGGTGCCAGTCAGGGACAGCGGCACAACACAGTCCCAAATGTGGTACTCCTTCACTCTTCGTATTGCCCTCTCCACCAGCACTCTGAGGCGAGCAATTGCCTGTGTTTTATGGGCATCAGCAGCAGACAGTTGTGTTTTAGTTTTGAAAGGAGGTATGATTAGGCTCGCGCCAGTTTGGGCCAACAAGTCCTCAATAACAAAACCCTTGTCAGCCATTACTTCATCCCCACAACTTAGCAGTTGGAGTAGGCCAGATCTCATAGTCAATTCTTTGTCTGAAATTGAACCAGTGTAGAGCTTGGACACAAATGTGACAACTCCACAGGGAGCAATGGCAATCAGGCCCTTGAAAGTGTTGGTGTTTTTATAGTTGGAAAACGTTTCTGATTGTAAGGTGAGAGATGCTGGTACCTCGCAACGCACTTCAGTACAATCTACAATCACACGTACATTGGGGCAGTACTGGCGAAATTTGTCTGGCATTGTTGCTTGAACTTGAGCTCGCGTCATCCAAATCGGCTGTGCCCCAAGAACTTGAAACAAGTAGTTTGCCCAAGTGATGATGACACGGCTCACTGTCGAGAGGCTGACGTCAAATATGGAAGCTAGCACTTTTTCTTTGAGTCCAGCTGCAATTCGGCAAAAGAAAAGAAAACACTCATCAATCAGAGGCAGTTTACGTTTACGATAACCAGGGACCATGTTCTGTGCCCTGGACCAGTAGACCAGCGTACATGCTGATGGGTGCACAGATTCCCAAAACACCATGAAGATCTCCTCTGATGGAAATCGGGTATAAAAGCGAAATTCACTATCAGAGGCACAAAAGCGCTTGCATAAAGGCTGCTTCTGTTGCAGTGTCATCTCAGATATTTGTAATTGTAGCTTCAGCAGTTGTGATTCCAGCCTCTGATTTTCTTCTACCAGTGCATCAATTGATCCTAGAAACAACCACAAATATAGCATTAATTGAAAAGAAACACAAAAACATGTATCAACATAAGCCATCTTGGCCAGGTATAGTTGTTCTTAAAAGGGTAACACTTAAACATAATTTAAACAACAATAATAATGAGTGTGTGGTGTGAAACAGCTATAATACAATATAATCCCCCCCCCCCTCTATTTTAAATGAATGGTCAATAGAATTCCCTTGAATAGGTATCATCCACTGAAGAAACAAAACCTGCACACTAAGGGCTGCTTTAACAAAATCATATGAAAGTCAATCAGCAGCAGGAGTGGCTGGCTAAATAACTATGCTAAGCTCTGGCCAAGTCTGTGCTTCACTGTAGGGCTGACTTGAGCTCAGTGTGTACAATGACGAGGATCACTATTTTGTCATGTCTCAAACTATGGTGGCCAATGCTTATGTATTTAATAGATAATAATAGCTAAAAGGTGGGTCAAAACATTGTTCATAAACATTGCATTGCTTCATCTCATCACGCCTGAAAAGCAATCTGCTGTTTTCCCACCATTCACCAAAACAACCATTAAATATTGCGGAGATAAACAATAACAGCGATCCTCCTTATAATTTTGTGACCTTGAAATTTACATTCAATAACAAAATTCAGGACTCATTTATTTCAAACGGACAAGTCATATCTGCCAGGTACGGATACCCCCTACTAAAACTTGCCAAAAGGCTTTACAATTTGTTATAGCTGTTTCACAAACTCATAAGAGGGTAAAAACAAACCTACCAGGTGGGGGAGGAACAGCATAGTCGTGATCAGCAGCAGCATCAAAGCCTTTCTCGCCTTCATTAGTGGTTGTTTCTTCTCGGATATTGACGCACAGTCTCTTGCTAGCTCGCTCATATACAGATGTGCGATTTGCGACATTAAAGTTGTTCCAGGCAAATTTGGATGGAATTACTCCCTTCTTTAGACGCCGACGACCCATTGGTGTGACATAAATATCATCTTCCAGAAAATGAAGACTGCAAACATAGGTGCAACCATGACGAACTGTAAAAGTAGCCCCCTCATCTCTTCGGATTGCTCTTACCCAGAGCAATCGCGTGCATTCCTCCGTTGGAAATTGGTGGAAACTAAGGTACGGCTGTGACTGTGTGTTGGTTTTACACTGGGGTACACAACACCAACACTTCGAGGTAGTTTGGGCTTTTCTTTGCGCCATCACCGCTGCTGTCGTTAGCTACCGGAAGTTGTTTAACTCAGCTATTCATTTACTTCCGCATTCGTAACGTCTTCGTGAAATAGGCCTATTGTTCAAAGGCGTCCCGATATAAATCCTTGTTTTATTCTTTGTTTTGTCATAAATGATTTGAGAGTCATAACAAGACCTTTTTTAGTTCTGCACCACATGTTATTTTATCATGACACTTCCTGATTGGCGAAACGGCGGAGGGTAGGACATCAAAATCAAAACAAGAACAACTTTTATGGGTCGTAAAACTAATTTTGATAATCAAATATCTCGGCTGAACTACTGTTATCAGTTAAAGATGTATTCGAAAAGAGTATGATTTAATAACGCCTTTTGAAATATGTAAGCCATTCAATGATGACTTGACATGCAATTATTACATACTGCTACTTTAACTAATAATAATAATAATAATGCATCGGTTTTATATAGCGCTTTTTTGGACACTCAAAGACGCTTCACATGTCATTATTCATTCACTCCATACACGGTGGTGATAAACTACTACTGTAGCCACAGCTGCCCTGGGGCACACTGACAGAAGCGAGGCAACCAGTATGCGCCATCAACTCAATAAAATTTTTTACCACTGGTCCTGACAGACGCCCTAGTGGCGTCAGGATGGGTCAAATGCAAAGGACTAAGTTCCCTACGGGGATTAATAAAGTTACACATTCACAGTAAAGTGATAGTCTGTAACTCTAAATTAATTACAAATTTTAGGAAATGTGCTAAATTGACCTCCTGGCCTTAAATGTTGATATAAAATAAGTCATTTTATTAATTCTAATAATAAGGCCTTCCCTTCTCTTGGCTTAGTTCAGAATCCACGGTGCCGTTGAGGTTAACCAATCGAGTCATGCCAAGGGCTGTCAATCATCGGCGCTGATGCTCGCAGCTGCTCATGCGCAGTTGTTTGTTTTCGCGGAGCCTCCGAATCAAGCCTCTATTAGGCTCTGGAACTTCATGAAAACTGAACAAAGAATTCTGAACATCCGCGCTGAGTTACCTATGTATATACTGAACCTATATCCATAATCATTTATATACTGAACCTATATCCATAATCATTTATATACTGAACCTATATCCATAATCATTTATATACTGAACCTATATCCATAATCATTTATATACTGAACCTATATCCATAATCATTTATATACTGAACCTATATCCATAATCATTTATATACTGAACCTATCTCCATAATCAGATTCTCTGCAGATGTGTCTATAATGTGCAATTCATGATAATAACTTGTTCCGGGTTTGCCGCGATCGCTTTTTTTGTGCATAAAAACATTACTCTTGTCATTAAAACGTTAACAAATAATTATGAAAACCTCCGTGCACGTGTATTAATAATGTATATGTATAATTTGTTCTACAATTAACATTTAAAAGTGTTACGGAAACGTAGGTGTAGACCAATCAGAAAGAAAGGGGGAGGAGCTTGCATCGTTTTTTTCAAATCAAGTACCTCTCTGTCTCTCTTTCTGACAAACTCCAGACAATCACTTTAATGATTGCAATGCTTTTGGGTTAGCAAGGCAGAGCCACAGAATATGACACCGCAGGCTAATTTATCATGATTTGCCTTCAATCACAACAGTAGTTATCTATAGGAAGACTTGAAATATATATATGTTGATTCGCCAACACAGATCAGAGAATCAAGTTCAAACACATTAAATGCAGTGATCAAAAACACACAGAGCTTTTGGTGAGAGACCATAAATGTCGTTGATGCATTAGTTCGGACACGGCTGCTCTATGTTCTGTCGATATTGAACTGTTTTCTCACACTGAGCTCTCTCTCTTCTACATTCCGAGCTGTCGTCACGGCGACGGGCGATAAGTGTCGTGTAAAAGTCATTTCCGTGTTTGATTGGTTCCTGATTGTTCGTGTTTATTGCTGATTACGTCGTAGAGTTGATGTAATTGAAACAGAGAGATATCATCATTTATTTCGTTTAGTTGGAATGGACTGATTTTAATTTAAATGTGTACTTTATTGTCCGCGTAGGGATATTTGTCCTCTGCATTTGACCCATCCGGATGCCACTAAGGCTTACGTCAGGAGCATTTTACTGTTCTCTACTTTACTCTAGTCTAACTGGCTCTACCCGGCTCTGCTCTACTCTACTCTACTCTACTTTACTCTACTCTACTCTACTCTACTTTACTCTAGTCTAACTGGCTCTACCTGACTCTACTCTACTCTTTTCTACCCTACTCTATTCTATCCTTCTCTACTCTACCTGGCCCGACTCTACTCTACTCTACTGTATCCTAGAGACCTACAAACCAGTATCCAGGAAAATTCCCAAAACATTTTCTGATTTGGCTCAAAAGTTGAGAAGTTCGGTTCCAAACATTTCGCAATATTCCAATGTTGTATCTTTCTATATTTAGCTCATTTTTAACCACAACTCTAAAAACAAGTGCTCGAGGGAAAAGCACTGCCAGAAGCTTTGTAAAGTCTCATAAATGTCATGTTAGGCCTCAAAATGTTCTGTTTTTATATTTTTCCTCGGTTCTGTGGCACATACATTATTTCTTCAGTAAGAGCACGGTTTCTCTCGCCCTCAATATTTGTTTTATGTCCTGTCTTTTTGCCAAAGGACGGTTAAGCCAGGATTCTCTCCAGCTCCCTGTGGGTTCTGTACTTCCCTCTTGTTCCCTTTGAGAGCGTTTTGTGGGAGAAATCAGAGAAAATAGCTTCTGGAAACAGCAGGAGGTCCATCCCGCTCTTGTTGTAATGAGCCTCTCTCCACCACAGGAGCTGGATGTGAAAAAACACTCATATGTACGATTGTTGTTGGAGTATATGAGAACGCTGTAAAAAACACACAAAATTGAACATTATATAGATAAAAATAAGTAAGGTACGTAGAAACAAAGAGATCGTCATCTGTCTCCTACAGTCTCTCCCTAAAACCTTCAAATCAGGTCAAAAATCTAGAAGTAAAACTGGACTCAGACTTAATAACAACATAAATCAGTAACGTCAGCATCTTTTTACCATCTAAAAAACATTGCCAGGATCAAAAACATAGTGTTTAAAGGAGACTTTCTTATCAATGCATTTGTCTCCAGTAGGTTAGACTACTGCAATGGCCTGCTCACAGGTCTGTCCAAACAGCTGCAGTACATTCAACATGCAGCAGCTCGAGTCCTGACTAGAACCAGGAAGTACCATCCGGAGACCAATCCCGGTCTCAGGTCTCTGGTTAAAACAGCCCTGTCTGTTACAAGTCTCTTCATGGCCTCACACAAAGTACATTAGTGACATGTTACTGCCATATGGACCAACTCTGGGGAGCACAGGGACTGGCCTCCTGCTGGGACCAGAGTCAGGATTAGACGCAGCGTTTCAGATTGTATGGACTGTGTTATACAAATAAACTTGCCTTTCATTAAATTTTACACTTACATTTTGATTGGAACCAAATATAACTTATTCTTTACAGACTACTGCACTCAAAAGTCAGAAAAGAAGAAAATATTTCATGACAGATTTATTTCAAAGGTGCTTCCGGTTTTTGTTTTCATCATAAAGACGGTGTTTTGCATCAGTTCTGCTCTCGCTAATATGTTGCTTTGAGATTGTTGAAGTAGTGGTGAGGTGTGTGGGTGTAGTTCGTCCGTGATCCCAGGAAGAGCTGGCCCTGGATCAGCCCCAGCGGCAGTGAAACCCCTCTAGTCCCACAGTATGCTAATCCAAATGCTAATGAAGCTAACGAGTGGATGGACTTACAGTACCTGACTCGCTAATGCTAATGTGTGTAGTCAATGGGACTGATTTTAAACCCACGCTGAGGTGACTCATGGCTGATGATGGGATCCTCGGACCCCGGGGAGACCTGTGACCTGGTCTCCCCTGGACCTGGTCTCACCCAGACCCATGGGTCGGATCCCCGAGCCGCCTGGGAGCCTCCTCAGTCCTGCACCAAACAGCCTCAGACCTCGTTCTACAGACATTCAAGGACATTTATGTACGGTGGTCATACGCACCTTATGGACCTATGGCTCCTATGTAGGGGTGGGAACCTAAGGGTACCTCACGATACGATACGATACACGATACAAAGCTCACGATAACGATATTACAATAACCATTTTATCACAATATGACGATTATTGATATATTGGTCAGAAATATACAATATGCCAATTTATGGCATAAATAAAATAAAAAATACTCTTTATTTCATGATGAATAGAATGGAGATGCGTAATGTAGCCATATATTAAGTATTGATACCAATTAAAAAAAAAAAAAGTAAAAAAACAAATATTTTTTATTTAAAATCGATATTGATACTTAATTGGCAAATGCATATCGATAATCGTCACACCCCTACTCCTATGTCTTTGTTACAGTTGTAATTCTTGTTGTCTAATGTCTAAATGTAATTGTCTCACTGCTGTTTCTTTTCCACAAGACTAAACCTGGTCTCATGAAATCTCACTTATGAAACACAATCAGAGACAAGGATGTATTCTTTATGGATTCGGATGTAGCTTCTGCCTTGTGCAAAATCCAAGATGGTGGCACCTGCACGTTTGTTGATTTGTACTCAAGCAAATACGTACGAGTTCAGACCAAACAGCGTTGACTGTAGAGGGCAGCACTGAGCCGGGCTGCTGCACATACTGTCGTAAGTGTATAGAAAGAGACAACGACAGAAAGAAAGCAACAAAAAGTTAAATAATTTCATGACTTTTGCCTGTAGATCCACGCTGGGCTGTGTAAGGGCTGTTTGACCAATAAGGAGAGTGCTGGGCCAGATGACCTCCACAGTCACCGGACCTAAACCCCTCCTCCTTCAAGACAGTTGAAGACCATTTCAGGTCCTCTTGAACCTCATTAAGAGAATGCCAAGAGTGAAGCAGTAATCAGAGCAAAAGATGCTGCTTTGAAGAACCTAGACTATAACGCATATTTTCAGTTGGTTCATTCTTGTTTTTTTCAGTACGTACATAATTTCACATGAGGTAATTCATAGTTTTGATGCCTTCAGTGTGGATCTATAATTTTCATAATCATGAAAATAAAAAAAATCTCTTTGAATGAGAAGGTGTGTCCTAACTTTTAGTCTGTACTGTAAACACTAGATTTTAAACAAATGAAGTCAGTATTGATGTGTGCGACTCATAGACTGTATATATTAATGGACAGAGTCACGCCTATCTCCGCCATGCTTTAATGGAGCAATCCAAAATGGCCGCGAGTGGTCCCACCCACAAGAAAATTGTGAAAAAACGCATCTGCGCATATTGCGTCAGCCGACGCAGCTCCATTCATTTGAACAAGAGACTTCAAAAATTCACCGCTTTTTTGTTATTAGACACAGATACGGTCAAAGACATGTTGAACACCTGTCTCCCATCCTTCAGCTGCCCACATTATATACTGCATTTGTAGACAGACTTGAGAATTAGGTAATAACTCTCTCTTATAACTATTTGATGTTAATTCACAGTGATTTGGAATAATATTTCTATAACAGATAGTCCAACTAAACACAGTGCATCACATAATTAATTATGTGTAATGTGAAAATTAAGCTTTAAGACACATTTAAAGACTTTTTCTGCTTCAAAAGAAATGTTTAGTTGTGTAGCGCTGAGTGTCCGTAATAATTGTGGTAATTGGATGAAAACAGTCCTGAGGTGTGTGTGTGTGTGTGTGTGTGTGTCTCGAGTTTTATCCTTTTGTTAAATAATAAACAAACACTTCATGGACAAAATGAAGAGGTTTAGTTTTTATGCACAAAAGGTTTTTAAATTCACTTTGTTTTGCTAAAGTCCTTAAAACTTGACCTTTCACATCAGACCTGATCTGTGTGTCTATGTGCGTGTGTGTGTGTGTGTGGGGCTACATGTGGAGGTGGTGTGTGTTTGTGTGTGTCTCTACAAGTGGAGGTGGTGTGTGTGAGTGTGTGTATGTGTGTGTCTGTGAGTGTGTGTGTGTGTGTGTGTCTCTCTGTGTATGAGTGTGTGTATATCTCTCTGTGTATGTTTGTGTGTGTGTGTGTCTCTCTGTATGTGTGTGTATACATCTCTGTGTATGTTTGTGTGTGTGTATGAGTGGTGTTCTGCTTTAACCCATACATTTTGGAGAATTGCTTGTTGCATGTTTTTGGGTGATACAGTAAAACCGTAGCACCAGGAGGGAACCAACCCAGACACACAGGGAAAACATCCAAACCTTGCACAGGTCCAGGTCTGCGTTGTAGAGAATATAGAGTTGTGTTGCTATGACAAAATGTGCAATAAAAGTGAGAAAAGTTTATGCTAAATGTGGATTAGAACAAACACACTTTCACTTGTTATAAAAATGAAATTATGAACTGCTGAATGTTTTTGTTTGGAGCCATTTTTTTTTGGATAGAGATCTTTCTGAGTCCGATATGATAAAGCTTGTCTATGTAACTTCCCGTGTTTCTCTCGTCTGGAGAGAACTTCCAGTTTCTCTCACATTTCTCCAGAGAGAGAACACAGTCCGCTGCAGGGATGTGAGACCAGGCCCCACCTCCCACACACACACACACACACACACACACACACACACACACACACACAGCAACACACTGCTCTGCACAAACACCACACGTTATTGAATACAACAAATATTATTGGAAAACGTCTCCACAGAGCTGCGGTTATTGCTTTGGTCGATTCCTCTCACACCGACGCGCACACGCACACACACACACACACAGACAGAGACCCACACACAATAAAGTGCACATTTACAGTCACACAGACACACAGACAGTTTTTCTGCTTGTGGTAAATGCCATTTGTTAGCAGGACAGGCTTTGAGCGGCTGGATGGCAGTAAGAAATAACCAAACAAAAGGTTGACGGAGGCAGGCTTAGGGTTGGTCCACTTATTTTTATTTTTATTTTCTTTTTCTTTTTCTTCTTTCTTAAAGTGACCAGCGCAAACAAAAACGCACAACAAAATGACACAGTGAATGGAGGACAGGAGCATGTGTTCCTAGTAGTAGCTAATTAACATTAGCTACTAAAAACGATGTTAAAACCCTCCATTAAAATACCCACATCCAACTAGACTAATAAAACACCCCCTACAAAAATATACTCCTAAAACACCAAACTATAAAAATATATATTTACAAACTATGATTAAAACAGTGCAAAATCCCCCGCACACCGATTCATTGACTTGATCCAGCCGGAACCATAAATGCAGATGTTCGTTACCCGATGACTCTTTTGGCCCACGCACCTGGACAGTGGTGAGTAAAAGCACTTTTTAAAATATATCACACAGCCACACCTGAACCCACACCAAACACAACTAATTTAAAATACGCCACATATATCGCACAAAACCCAATTCCAACTGTTGTTTTGTTTGTCTCCGCAGACCGGCGGCCGCCATTACCGAAACTTTTGGATTCGGGACAAACTGAATTTTTCAATAAATGTTTTAAAACCAACAATGTGCAAATTAGCGTGTTAAAATATGTGTACAGTGCAATCTAAAGTGCAATGTGAAGTTTAAAAAGGTAAATGAATAAAGTGCAGAGTGATATTTACACGTAAAGACCTGCTGTTCTTAACACCATTTATAGTTACAGTAATATCATTATTTTTTATCAAATCATAGTTTAATTCTACAAAGACTACAGGTACAATGCCACTAACTCTGGGGATATTTGATCAGCACAAGGACATTAAACACACATTGGGCAAAAGGGAAACAGATTATACACATTCCTCTCATTATTTCTCTCGTATATCTCCGTCACATGTCCCCACGGCCTCTCGGTGCGTGCATACTAATGACAGGAGTGATAATGGCCTCTGACAGAAGGCCGGAGCTGATATGAAAACAGGAGAGAGCAGCCTGAGGCCTCAATATGGCTCCACCCCACAGCCCTCTCTTCACTCTCTACTCTCTCTCTCTTCTCTCTCCCATCTCACTGTTCTCTCTCCTCTCCCATCTATCATCTCTCTATCTCTCTCTCTCTCCCCCCCTCTCTGCTCTCTCTCCTCTACCCTCTCTCTGCTCTCTCTCCTCTCCTATATCTTCCCTCTCTCCAATATTTCTGCGCTCTCCCGTCTCCTTCTGCTCTCTCTCTCATCTCTTTCCCTCTCTTTCATCTCTCTACCCTCTGCTCTCTCTCGTCTCCCACCCTCCTTTCTTTCTCCTCTCTCTCTCTCTCTCTCCCTGCTCTCTCCTGTGTCTCGCCCCTCTGTGGTGGGTGAAACCGTAGCGCCCGGAGGTAACCCACCCAGGCACAGGTAAAACATACTACTCCACGTCGCCTTGAAACTACCGTGTGATTTGTGGTCCAGTGTCTGGTGTTTCACAATTCCTCTCCGTCTCGGTGTTGTTCTAATCTCTCTCTTTATTAAACCTGGCACAGCAGCAGCCACTGACCTCCTCATTGCAGCTCATTTAACCAATAAGTCTGGAATCACTAAATATTACGGCAGAACAGCGACAGTGGAACATCCAGGCGAAGAAAACATTCACTCACAACTATGTCATTATTTAAAATGTCAAGCGTTTTCATAATCAGAAAGTGGAGCGGAAAAACACTGCATTCAAGAAGTGTATTCATATTGTCATTATTAATTCACTTCATACACGGTGGTGATAAACTGCTGTTGTAGCCACAGCTGCCCTGGGGCACACTGACAGAAGCGAGGCAACCACTGTGTGCCATCGGCCCCTCCTACCACCACCAACCACTCACACACACACCAGACTCATGCTAATGTGGGTGAAGT